TCTTCATCTCCATAAAGCTTTTCAGCAGATGGAAGCATGAAGTGCTCAAAAATCTCCTGATAGCTAGCTGCATTGACCCTGCCCTTGATAAAACACAGTGGACCAACACCAGCAGATGACATGGCACCCCAGTGACTGTGGAAACTTGACACTGGACCTCAAGCAATGTGAATTCTGTGTCTCCTCTCTTCCTCCAGACTCTGGGACCTTGATTTCCAAAGGAAATCCAAAATTTACTGTAATCAGAGAACATAACTTTGGACCACTCAGCAGCAGTCCCAGGCGAGATGCTTCTGCCGCTGTTTCTGGTTCAAAAGTGGCTTGACCTGGGGAATGTGGCACCTGTAGCCCATTTCCTGCACACGCCTGTGCACGGTGGCTCTGGATGTTTCTACTCCAGACTCAGTCCACTGCTTCCGCAGGTCCCCCAAGGTCTGGAATCGGCCCTTCTCCACATTCCTCCTCAGGGTCCGGTCACCTCTTCTCGTTGTGCAGCGTTTTCTGCCACACTTTTCCCTTCCCACAGACTTCCCACTGAGGTGCCTTGATACAGCACTCTGGGAACAGCCTATTCGTTCAGCATTTTCTTTCTGTGTCTTACCCTCTTGCTTCAGGGTGTCAATGATGGCCTTCTGGACAATAGTCAGGTCAGCAGTCTTACCCATGATTGCGGTTTTGAGTAATGAACAAGTGTAGTGAACTTGACCTGATGTCAAATCTGACCAGATGGACAGAAACTGTTATTTCATTGATCTGCATCCAGAAATACAGTTTGACCCATCCTGAGACTTTCTTTCTTGAATTAATCAAGTAGAAAAGACAATTCTCTATGATCATTACTATTTTACAAATGTTTTGATAATCAAATTGTGTTAGTTCAAACAATGTTTACAGGTTGAAGAGAACTACTCATTTTTATTTACATAAACAGTAAGTAATGATTTTTATTCCTCATTCAAAGAAGAAATCAGGGTAATATGCATTTCTTGATTTTTCTGTCTTCAATGAGCAAGTTTGTAAGTGTGTGTTAAAGTTCAGGTTTCGGTCAACTAAAAAGTTTACTGAAAAGAAATGTCATGTTTAACTTTTACAGAAGATACAGGAGAGTTTGACTCCACGAAGTCTGGTTTTCTCCAATAATCTTTCTGTCTGTTTTAAACAATCTTAATCTCTATCCTTGAATTTTCATAACATCTTACATCACAAACCACACCTCTGTTCTGGTCCATCCACCAATTAGAAAGCTCTCAAATGAACCGGAAGTCGACCCATTTAAATGTGGCAACTTCCCAGTTCAACGCTCTGATGCAGCTCATGGAGAAGTGTCAAAAAAAGGTCTGATGTCTGTGTCGAGTCTCTGTCGAAGAGAGACGCGACGAGATGAAAAGAGCTTAAAGGAGTAGAGCTCTGAAGGAGTTCAGAGTTCTTGAATCCAGAATGCAGGGACGATTTTGGGAATTATAACTTCTGTTTGGATAACCTCGCACGACTCTCGAAGTATTTTAGCTGTTCTCAACGGAGACGCTGAAAGAGTCAAAAGAAGGACTTCACGCCGACCTGATCTATCATCAACCAGGTAAAAGTTCTATTTCGACCAAGCGTACCGTGACCAAGCTGAGTTTTGAAGGAGCGTGCCCGTTCTGGTCAAACAGATAAATTCCCTCCCACATCTCTCTGTAAGATAAATCTCCATTTTTCCATCTTAAACTCTCCTTTCTCCTAAAATCATTACAGATATTTTTAGAAATGTCTGGAGCAAAGTTTCTCAATCACCGCCGTGTGATCGATGTCTGTTTCTGCTGAAAAGTGAGGATAATCTCCGTATTGTTCCCACTTCCTGTGAAACTAGCCATGTTATTGTTTTCATATTTTGCCAAATTAATGTAAATGTTTGATGTTAAACTTTGATTCTGTAAATAAATGACCGCATTCATTTTGATGGGTCAAAGATAAATAACGTCTCTCGTTTACGTTTCTGTTAAATTCAATGCACGACATTTACACAGTCAGAAAAATGAAGAACCCGTCTTAAATGTATGAATATATCCTGCATATGTCATACTACACAAGGCTGGGAGTTTTTAAAAGCCTCAGGAATCTTTTGCAGGTGTTTAGAGTTACGTCTTTAACTCAGATGGTTAGGTTAATAGATTGTTTAGAGAACCTTTTCATGATATGCTAATTTTTTGGGACAGGCATTTTGGGTTTTCATGAGCTGTATGCCATAATCATCAGTATTAAAACAATTAAAGACCTGGAATATTTCAGTTGGTGTGCAATGAATCTGAAATATATGAAAGTTTCATTTTTATCATTACATTATGGAAAATAATGACCTTTATCACAATATGCTAATTTTTTGAGAAGGACCCGTATGTGTCCAGTTTTCACTACTTTTTGTCTGTCTAAACAGATTTCACTTGTAAATGAGTCTTCTAGGCTCAATGTGATTTATCTGTCTAAATAAAGGTTGAATGAACAATAAACATTTGTGTAATCCATGGAAGTGGTAATTGGTAACTGGACTGTATACAGCGCCTTCCTATCTAATCAAATACTCGAAGCTCTTTACAACACAATCTGTGCCTTCATTTATCCATTCATACACTGATGGGACACCCCTCCCTTCAGCATGTGACTGTTGGTGGAATTGAACCCCCAACTCTCGCATTGGAGGACGACTGCTCTAGCCACTCAGCCACAGTCACCCAAGTGATGTCCAACATTAACAAATAAGAATATAATTTATTAGTACACATAAAAATACCCGTTTGTTGAATAAAATGATTTGCTAACAGGTATGGACATGATTTTTGATAGAAATGCAGCAAGTCTTTGTACTTGAGGCCCCTGGCCTCTGCTATACTGAGAATGTACACACATCTTACACAAATGTTTTCACATGACAACCAAGAGACAGCTCCTTACTGAGTGTGGGGGATTCAAAGATCTTCTGCTTTGTGTCCTCAACAGAGTCTCACTCGTTTCCTCTTGTTGTTTATCATCTTCATTATCTCCCTCATCCTCCTCTTCTCGACCACACAACTCTCTCTCCTGCTCCTCCTGTACAAAAGAGATGAGACTGAATTAACTCCTTCAAAGATTTTAGGCTGAAGTTTAAATACATTGAATTCTTAATAAATAAATTCTCTCTTTTTTTTCTTCTCACCTGTGCTCTTCTCTCATCTTCCTCCTCTTTCCTCCTCTGCCTCCATTCTCTGTTTTTTAGTTTGATTCTCTTCTTCTGCAGCAGAGGAAGTAGCTGTTCATCTTGGACTGTGCTGCTAAATTCTTGGAACTCTGGCCAAAACCTGAGCAATTCACTGAACACCAACACCTAAATGAGCAGAACAAACATAAAACACATGCAGGGTAAGAAGAAACTAAACTCACACACTCACACACCTGCGCCTCTCTGAAGATGTAAGGGCCAAGCTGGTGGCACTTCTCCAGAATACGTTGCGCCTGATCAGCAGGGATGTCTATCTGCAGAGTGGGGGGCATGGAGGAGTTGATAAAACAACTGATGATGATAGAGATTTTTTGATGGATGGTGGCTTCATCACAGTGGGAGTGACAGAGGTCCTTATGTCCATGCAGACAGAAAAAACAGAAGCAAATGTATTACATTTTAGAACATGTTGTAAATTTGAGATGAGAAAAAAAACTTTTTTTTAGATACATGCATCATGTGACTTCAGGTGTTATTTTTTTTTTACCTTATACTTCTGCACCTCCACCCAGAAACGCACATCATTTTCCAGGAAGTCTCCTTTCAGAGAGACAAAGTGCTGGAACTGCTGGCGGGTGGTGGGGTTCAACAGAACCCGGCGAAACAACATGGCCTCTGTGGAAGTATTCATCCATAACCCCTGCACCTGCAGAGACAAAACAAGATCCACGCCACATTTAAATCCACTTTCAGCCAATTTTAAATGTTAATCATATTTATTGCCTCTGCTGAAATGTAATATATAAATATATAAATCAGATTTAGACCAGTAGTAGAAAGGTTGTCTTTCAATCACTGGCCCCTGCAGTGTGCCTACGTATCCGTAGGTAAGACACTGAACACTCCTCACCCCACTGTCTCTGATATACTGTATAATATTTATGAATGAGTGAGAATATAGGAATACTAGATAGAGTACAATGTATTTATATAATAGAAAGCAAGACCACTTTGTGGTCAGGTCCCCGGGGACAGCAGGTCCAGGAGGGAAACCCAGACATCCCTCTCCCCAGTGACACTCCAGCTCTTGCTGGTGGATCCCAAGTCAGAGAGGATAGAAAATCCCTCCTGTGAGTTCTGGGCCTGCCTGGTAGTCTGTTCACAGAGGTATGTCTAACAAGGTTGAGTCGGTCCATCTGGACAGATTCTTCTTGTTGAAGTGTTTCATCCTTAATCCAGAAGACTTCTTCAGTCTGAGGAGCTGCAGCAAACTTGGTCTTTCAAGCAGCACCTTCACATAGTGGCATAGGCGTCGCAACCATTATATGTGAAGGGGACAAGTCCCCCCCACATTAAAAAAACGTTCATTTGGACACCCCCCCCCCCACTAAAAAAACGTTCATTTGGACACCCCCCCCCCCCACACACACACACACACACACACTTTTACTATAAAACACTAGTTCAGTTGACGCTGTTGACGCCGTTTCTCTTTCTCTTACACGACATTGCTCTGTTTGTGCCGGGGGACTGGATCTTTGGGATGAACCAGTCTTTGCCGTAATGTATTTTGGGGTTTAAAAGCCACTGGGACGTTATGTTTAGAAAATAAACGTCTCAGTTTCTCTGATACTCCCTCAACATATGGAATGACCACTGGTCTGGGTCTGGGTTCCTCCTTTTCACCTGATGGCTGACTGGAGTCCTGTTTGGGTTTCTTCTCTGCTTTCAGGAAGGCACAGTTAGGATATCCACATTGCTCTAGAGCCTGTCTTGTGTGGGATTTCTCCTTCTGCCTGGCTCCTGAGCTAGTGGGGACACTGTCTGCTCTGTGGTACAGAGTCCTGATGACTCCTAACTTGTGCTCCAAAGGGTGATGGGAGTCAAACTGCAAATACTGGTCTGTGTGGGTGGGTTTGCAGTACACCTCAGTTGCAAAAGTCCTCTATCAGAGACTGAGACCTCACAGTCCAAGAAAGCCAGCCTGCCATTTTTTTTACATCTTCTCGTGTGAACTTGATGTATTTATCCAAAGAGTTGATGTGGTCAGTAAAATGTTGGACTTCCTGAGATTTGATTTTAACCCAGGTGTCGTCAACATACCTGAACCAATGACTTGGTGGTGTCTCTGAAAAGGACGTCAAGGCTCTCTTTTCTACCTCCTCCATGTACAGGTTGGCAACAATGTCATTTCTCAACACAAGATGATCTTATTTTAAAACTCGAACATGAAACGTGGCGAGTGACATACATTTTTTTGAGCAGTGCAAGGTCTTTAATTCAACAAATCTAAATTAGATGAGCTGCCATCTTTGCTCCCAGATACATTTATATTTATCTCTATATAAAAAGTTAGTTTTTTATCTAACAACCACATAACTTTTAGAAACACGGGTCACAATCTGAACTAAAATCCTTCCTGTAATCATTCTGTCTGTAATGATAAATGTTCATGTTCTGACTCTGCCAGGGAGATGGAGCAGTGGGGAATATACAAAAAACTACATTAAAAAAATTATGTTTGAATTTTAATTATCTAGGCTCAAGTTTGGATAAATAATTTCAAGGTCTAAAGTGTATCGGACAAAGCTGGTGCTTGCAGCCAAGTCATGAACAGAATCCCACATGCACCGACAGGAAATACCTCATTTCTCTCTATTCAAAACCTTCAAATTCCCAGGAGGGTTGCTTCTTACCTTCCAGGCTTTTCTTCTGGCTCTGCGTCGGCTGTAGACGTGCTGTGAGAGCCTGTCTGCTGTCTGCAGCTACCACACAGAAACATAAGACACACAAAGGTCAGAAGTCAGACACCAAGTAAACTTGGACTAAGAGGAGACACTGAGCAACTCTGTTGTTCCACCTCTGCTTTGTTTTAATCTTCCATGTGTTTTTCAGTCTCTTTTTTTAAAGAAGTGCCTGTCCTTTCCCTCCCTGATCCTCTCTGTCCTCCTCTTCACCCTTTAAACATCTCCAGCTTTAAATTCTTCTCCCTCTGCAGAGTGTAATGCTAACCACCTCCTCATTACTTAATGAGGAGTCGGTGCATCAGTAAACATTGTAAACTTGATCACATAATGAGGCAAAGCAGCCAAATCTGTGGTTTCTGTGTTACCTGATGGAGCAACCTGAGAGACTAACAGGACGTGGACATCATTTAGAGATTCTTCTCACATGACTAACACAAGTCTCTGTTCACACTCATCACCCTCAGACAGCTGCAACCAAAGACACAACTACTGAAAAAAACAGTGAGACTGTTGATTGTGGCTCTACATCACTCCTCTAAGAATTGTTAAAACAGAGTCTACTCTAAAACACTTTACAACAAAATTTTGAACAAACTTATGTAAAATGTAAAAAAAATAAAAACAGAATGCAATGATTAAACATTTTCATAAACCCATGGAACCCTGCTCTAACCACTCGTCTGTGGCTGAGTGATTAGAGCAGTCGTCCTTCAATGCAAGAGTTGGGAGTTCAAATCCACCAGCAGTCACATGCCGAAGTGTCCCCGGGCAAGACACTGAACCCCTCATAGCCTCTGATGTGTGTCCCATCAGTGTATGGAAGTGAAAAAGCTCTGATTAGTCTCTTTAGAATGATTTGTTCAATTATCTTTGTAGAGATCTAGTAGAGTGCTGTATGAATGGGTAAATGAGGACACATTGTAGTGTAAAGCACTTTGAGTATCTGGATAAGATAGAAAGGCGCTGTATAAGTAGTCCATTTACCATTTACCATTCTGAGACTCCAGCAGGAAGTTCCCTTGAAACACAGCACTGAAGGCTACCTATGGGACAGATCTGGTTAACAGGCTGTAGAATGAGGAAGCCCTCTGGATGGGGGACAAAACAGCAGGTCCAGATGACACGATAAACTTTTTTTGTTGTTACTACCTGGATGATTGCGCTTACAACCTTTTTCCATAAACCCATATTTTTTTCACAATAAAACACAGTAAACAAACACATTGAATGTTTAAACCACTTCCTCTACTTCTTCCTAGGGGGAGCGTAATAGAAAATGATTGAGAAGCACTGGGTTAAACTAAGAAATTTTACAATTGCGTTTAAAAAATAGGCGATTATGAATTTCATAGTCAAGTCACATTTATTTATATAGCACATTTAAAACAGTAACTGTTATCAAAGTGCTTAACAACAACAAAAAATATCACAGGATCAAATATTAATAACAAGATATTATAGCAACATGAATAAAAGCATAAAAACATGAAATATGAGAAACAATGAAACACTAAATCAAATCACCCTGCATTAAATGTCAGGGAGTAAAAGCAAAATGGATGAACACAATCATCAACAATGAGATACCAAATGAGATCACACTGTGTTCAATGCCAATGAGTACAGATGTGTTTTGAGGAGAGATTTAAAAGTGGAGACTGAGGTGGCCTGTTGAATGTTGATGGGCAGATTGTTCCAGAGTTTAGGGCCCATGACTGAAAACATCCTATCTCCTCTGAGCTTCAGCTGGTTTTTGGTACGGCCAAAAGCAGCTGGTCTGATGATCTCAAGGCCTGAGAAGGAGTATAAGGATGAAGGAGGTCGGAGAGGTATGAGGGTGCAAGGTCATTAATACACTTAAATGTCAGCAGAAGAACCTTAAAATCAACTCTGACATGCACAGGAAGCCAGTGAAGGGAGGACAGAACTGGAGCAATGTGCTCAAACCTGCGAGTTCCTGTTAGTAGCCGAGCTGCAGCAATTTGGACAAGCTGGAGACGTGAGAGAGAGAGACCTGACCGACCCCAGCATAAAGCGAGTTACAGTAGTCCAGCCAGGTTGTAATAAATGCATGGACTAATTTTTCAAGGTCGGATCTGGACAGCACGGACTTGAGCTTAGCTATCTGCCTTAGCTGAAAGAAGCTTTTAAGAAGAACAGAGTTTATCTGATTATTAAACTTAAAGTCCGAGTCTAAAACTATCCCGAGATTGGTAACAGACTGTTTTAGATATGGCTGAAGGGAGTCCAGGTTGCAGGATCAGTGATAGTGGCAGAGCTAGAGTTAAACACAATGACCTCAGTCTACCGATCATTAAAACTTGAAGTTCGCAGCCATCCAAGTCTTGATGTCATCAAGACATTTTAGCAAAGGGCAAATGGAGGAGGAACTGTTTGGTGTTAACGGCAGATAAATTTGAGAGTCATCAGCATAACAATGAAAGGAAAGACTATGTTTCCTCAGAATAGACCCTAAGGGGAGGAGATACAATGAAAACAGAAGGTGTCCAAGAATGGAGCCTTGCGGGACCCTGCAGGAAAGAGGCACTGAAGTAGATAGAGTGTTAGCAAAATTAACACAGAAACTCCTGTCGCTCAGATATGAATGGAACCATTTTAATGCTGCACCAGTAATCCCAACCCAGTGTCCTAGCCGGGAAA